AATTCTGAGGAAAAAAGTCATAATTCTGAGGAAAGAAAGTCAGAATTCTGAATTTTTTTCCCATATTTAACTGAAATAATATTTAAATATCAGTTCACTTTTTTTTTCACTGTTCCTAATCCTCTTCCATAGAAATATCCTTTGCTTTTGCGTGAATATTTGCTAGAACATTTCTTAAATGTTTTCGCATTGATGTTTAGTGGGACAGGATGATCGAAACATGAAACAAGGATTTTGATATATGGCTTTCATGTATGTTTTGCAACTAATATTTAAAAGTAAGTCATATGTAATTGGGCCTTTACTCTACTTTCTAACCTTTAGATTTGAATGAATGAAACAACAATAAATAAATCGACTTCATAAAAAATTTCAAACAAACAACCGAATACACACAAAAAGATAGTGGTTTACACCAAACTGAAATTTCACAAAAAAATGAAATTACCTGAACATAAATAAGGCTGCTCAGTGGTGCAGTGGGTAGGTTAGAAGGTTGTGGGTTCAATTCCCGCCCCAGGTTCTTTCTGCATGTTCTCCCTGAGCATGTGTGGGTTCTCTTCGGGTACTTCGGGTTCCTCCCACAGTCCAAAAACACGACTGTTAGGTTAATTGGCTTCTCTAAATTCTCCTTTGGTGTGTGTGTGTGTGTGTGTGAATGGTTGTTTGCCTTATTTGTCTCTGTGTTGCCCTGAGATGGACTGTGACCTGCCCAGGGTGTACCCTGCCTCTCGTAGACAGCTGGAGATAAGCACCAGCACCCCTTGCGACCCCGCGTGGGATAAAGTGTGTCAGAAACGGGATGGATGGATGGATGGATGAAAATAAATGGAAACACAAACCCTCTTTCAAATAAACCTGTGGGTATGTACAGCCAGAGAACTAACATTGATTAATGGAAATTGTCTGAAAAGAGGTATGAAGACGTAGTACCCCCCTCTCTCTCTAGTTAGACTTAAATTAACTTCAAGTAGAGTAACCCAATATTAAATGGCCAACTTCTCTTATTGGATCTCTTTATACATTTTCTTTTTTAAATATGAGAAATTCATAAATCATATAAACCTAATTCACAGGTTAAAGTATTTTAACACTTTGTTTCTTTTAAACTTGATTTTACTTTTTGCAGAAATAAAAAATTCAAATTTCTTTGTCTCAGATTATGATAATGTTGCTTAAGTACAATCAAAAATTATATTTTGAGCAGATATATCTTCTAAAAAATGCATTAATTCCTTTGCATAATAGAGACGATCAGCCGGTAGTTGTGCTGAGGTGTAATGGAAGCACTGGTTACTCCAGTAGGAGCCTCCAGATCATCTTCATTATTAGATCTGGTGTCTCTCATCTTCCTCTTGACAACATCACATATAATCTCTAATGGTGTGAGGCCGGTTAGCCATCCATCAAGCATAGTAACAGCTTGTTCACTCAACCAGCATTTAGTACCTTTGGGACTGTGGGAAGCTGCTGAGTTCTTTTCCGCAAAAGAGGCATGAAGTGCTCTAAAATTTCCTGGTATAGATGGCTGATTTGACTGCAGAGAAAACGCAACAGCCCATCGTTAGCAGATGACTTAAAAGCACCACTGACTACAAACATCTCTTTGGACTTCAAGCATTGGGACCATGTTCCTTGTGAAGTTACCCACATTATTGAATTTATTTTGCCTGAAGATCCCTTACAATGCTGCCTTTATACTGGTCGCTGCTGCAGCTTTTCTTACCACGCTTCCACTCCACTCAACTTTGTAATTCTTTGTATTTCTTTCTCACCATTTGATAAACTCTCACAGTTTTATGAATATATTCTCAATATTCATTGTTTTATTCATACCTGTAAATCCAGTTGTTCTATGAAAGGCTCAGAGGTTTAGAAGGGAAAAAAATGATGCAAACCAAAGAACAGAGCAGACCGTTAAAGATAAAGTGAACTCACCCCAAAATGGACTTTTATACATTCAAACTGTCTAAACTGGGCCTATTGGGTCCTACTTTAATTTCACTATTTCGTTTTTTTTTTTTACATTTTCATGTGCGATTTTTTTGAAGTTCTGCATTAAATATCTCTAAGTCACTATGTTGGTGATTGAGTGAATGGTGGCTATTGCAGTTAAATTTAGCTAAGGGTTCACACTGGTTTGGGTATAAAAGCAACTCAATCAGACATTCATTGTAGTAGAGATTTCTTCTGTCCTTCGCCGTCTCAGTAGCACCGGCTTTGAAACACACAGCCAGGCAGACGAGCTCAGAGCCAGCTCCCATGTCAGAGGATGAGAAGAGCACATCCAGCCAGTCACAGTTAGAGAAACAGGATCACACTAAAAAAACAGGCCAAGCTCCACCATCTATACACAAAGCTGTTGATGGCAGCAGCAGAGCTGATGTTTTTCTCCAGGATAGAGTCACAGCCAAACAGGAACAGACCAGATGAAGCAGAGAGAGCATAAGGTTAGAGATTTAACTCATAGAGTCTGCAGAGTTGGAGAGTAGAGATAGAAGGAAGCAGAATGATAAAAAATGTGTACCTATGTCCAGCAGACTAAGCCTATAGCAGCATAACTATAGAGATAGTTCTGAAAAACCTGAGCCCCTCTTACTATAAACTTTAAAAAAAAGGAAAGTTTTAAGCCTAGCCTTAACGGTAGAAAGGGTGTCTGCCTCATGGACTAAAACTGGTAGTTGGTTCCACAAGAGAGGAGCCTGATAACTAAAAGATCTGCCATTCTACTTATAGAAATTCTAAAAACCACTAGTAAAGCTGCAGATTGAGAGTGAAGTGCTCTGTTAGGAACATAAGGAACAATCATATCACTAAGGCTTTATTTTTGAGATGAAGGATTATTTGTCTCATGAACTAACATTTCCTGCAGAAGGATTCCCTTAAAAATGTTATTTTTTAAAATTCTTATAGGAATTTCCTGGTTTAAAAAAAAAAAAGAATAATTGCAGCAATAGCTTTTAGGTCCTTTAGGGAATGGCACAATACTTGAAGATGGGCTTTATTTAATAGGCCATAGTGTTATTACCATGGAATATTTTCCGTGTTTACACAGTCTCTGGTATAACTCTGTTGGGACTACTGGGCTTACCACAAGAATTTCCAGAATTGGTTCATTCTGTTGTTTTTTTGTTTTTTTTTCTTTTGGACATATATCAGTCGCATAAAAATGCCTTTTACTTTTGGTGTACAGTGACTGCTACTACTTGGAAAGCTTGTAGTATGCATGCATTATAATTTAGTGGCTAAAGTGTTGACAGAGGTCAGAGCAGGAGTTTTTCCTTCTCTACAGTTACCTCTTCAAGTGTTTGGACATTTTGCAGGGTTTACTGTGTGCATGTGTCAGATCGGTTGCCTCACGCTAAAAGAATTCTGTGTTTAAACCTGATGACGATCTTCTTTTCATGGTTGCTTGGGTATTTTCTGCTAATAAAG